TCTGTAAGGAAATCCACCTAAACGGATAATAACACAGTCAAACCTTAGCACAGCCTTCAAAGACCAAGTTTGAGATGGCAGATAAAGTCTGGTAAAACATTAATTAACTCATCCTCACACTTTAATACAATATAAAGGTAATGGATAGCCTGAGGTGAAATGTAACAAAGCCATGTAAATTAACTTTAATGTATTAATTTTTTCTCTATCGTAAATCTCACGGGGGATTGCATTACACGGTTACGTTGGTTGCTGAAGCGTTATTGCAGGTCGAATGTTATCAACAGGGGCAATTTTGATATTAAATTCAGGCTGCTTCTTTTCATGTGGTAATGGGCCGGAGTGAAATCATCTCTTAACTCAACTGAAAGCTGCGTTTGCGGGCTTGTTGGGAAAGTGAATAAATGGCGACTATTAATTACCTGACAGGCAGGATGTGGAGGACATCGCTCAGGCGTAAGCTCTGGAGGTATTAATTAGTATTTAATTATAAACCCTGGTCATAAATATCAATAAAGGTTTCATATATTTTCACTCGGGAACAGACTAATCTGAAGTGGAAGAATTACTCAGATCTGCAGACGCTGTGGACTTTATATTGTCTGTTTTGGAGTTTTGCTATATGCTGCTGTTTCTGTAAGAAGCGCCAAGTTATTGAATGTATGTAGCGTAATAATGCTTGTTGCATCCGCCATGCTGTCCATTTACGTTTGATTTATTGTCCTTTTATTAAGCATATTTACTCAAGTACTGTACTTAAGTACAATTTGTAGGTACTTGTATTTTATTTGAGTATTTCCATTGTATTCTACTTTGTACTTCTACTCTACTACATTTCAGAGGTAAATAGTGTACTACGTTTATTTAACACCTTTAGTTACTTTACAGATGTGGATTAATGATGTGAATATAATCAACTCTTAAATAAGACCCTGTAGTATACAAAGTCATTCAAACTGGGTGAACCTTTACCAGCTTTGGTAACACTTTAAAGGTCACCTATTATGCAAAATCCACTTTTTCATGTCTTTTATACATCAACATGTGTCCCCTCTGTGTAAAGAGATTCTGAAAGTTTCAGGAAAAAAGATTCTCTCTCTTTTTGTCCTGATCCATTTATATAAAAACCTGTCTGAAAATGAGCTGATCAGATTTTGGCCACTTTATGATGTCATAACAATGTTTTGGCTTGCTTGAGTAACCATTAGCCCAGTGGTGGCGCAGCGCTATTGCAGGGGGGAGAGCGTGAAGCTTGGGAAGAAGTTGTAAACAAACATTGTTTACTCGTAAAATCAATCAAATTGACACATTTTTAACACAACCGGCAGTTAAAAGAAAAGTGGACGAGCCCACGACAAGCCTTTCAGCTATAATGCCAAAATCAACAAAGTATGATGAGGCATATATCTCCCTTGACATCTAACGTGTTCGGTGCGGAGATCTCTCTCTCTCTCTCTCTCTCTCTCTCTCTCTCTCTCTCTCTCTCTCTCTCTCTCTCTCTCTCTCTCTCTCTCTCTCTCTCTCGTCTGTGTGGGGGGGCGGGGCATCTCGCTCACAGACTCGCTGCAGCGCCGTGCACACAGAGATCCGCCGGTGGAGAACATAGCGTTCAAAAGTGACAATCTAATCTACAGAGCTCGATGTGTTCAATGCTCGTTTGCCATAAGTATTTTCGCGGAAACACGAGCAATCAGCTGGCCAAAAGGCATCATATTCATACGGAGAAATGCACCGTTTTCAACTTCCTTAACTCGGAGTTCTGTTGCCCCAATTACGTGCAAGGTGGGAGCATAGGCGGATTTTGCGGGGGGGCAGGGGGGGCATCGCCCCTCCTAGTGGCTGAAATATGTTACAGCATTACTACGTCTAAAACTGTTCCAATACAAATATTTCGTATATCATATTTGAATAAGGTAAGACACTGGTTAATAATATTGTAGCGTGTTCAAGTAACCAAGGGATATAGTAGTTATCAAATAAGTATAAGATGTGCACAGTTATGATACGTTTTACAGTTATGTAATGCACTGTTGTTGGGGGAAGAGACCGCCCCTTCCATATGAGTGTGTGTGTACGGCGGGCATGAGGCGTGCATGACGGGACGAGTTGTGTTCGTATGTGGAAAAGTCATACTCAGTGCGGTGAACGCTGGCTTTATTGCTACTGTATCCGTAGCACCCCACGCAATAGTTGGGACTGTGTACTGACGTCAGTAAAAAAGGTTTTCCCCCCCCAAGCGCAAATGTCAAAGTACTCAGATCAAGTACTTAAGTAAAGGTAGTATACTGCAGGGTAGCTTGAATTGACTTCAGGTGTAACTAAAGTCTGATTTAAGAATTGATTATATTTCACATCATTAATCCAGATCTGTAAAGTAACTAAAGGTATTAAATACATGTAGTAAAATTACATCATTTACCTCTGAACTGTAGTGGAGCAGAATTACAAAGAAGCAAAAGGAAATACTTAAGTACCTCAATATAAGTACAGTACTTGAATAAATCTACTTACTACTGTGCTAGCAGCCCATAATCCACACTATACATACAATGAATCAATGTGAATTCTGTTTCTAATTTGTTTAGTTTTTCCCCTAAAACATAACAAAATAACCTACTGTTAAAGAACCGGATCGATAAGCAGTACTTGTAATTGTTTCAATTACGCCTCGTGGCACAGGATTATCTGCCAATACAAGCACTTTGGTTCATGTTCAATCCATAATAATATATCAAATTATAGTTGGATCTTTTTGTCTTGTTAGCAGAGAAAATGTAATGTTTGTACAACTATATACAATTAATTCTACCAATCTCGGTGGGAACCGGATTAGGGGGGGCTCGGAAATATTTCCAATTACACAAGGGGGGCCTGACTGAAAAAGATTGGGAACTACTGCATTAACCAATAACCAACCAAGATAACCCCCCCCTCCCCCCCACCTTATCACCTGAATCTCCTCCTAGAGCACCATTGTGCATTCTTTTTAACCAAATCTCTCTCAGAGGGGCGTGGGGAGGGGCTCCTTATTTTCATCTAAAGTAACAGACAGAGAATCAGCACTTTTGAAACAGGGCTGAAACAGAGGGGATTATGGGATGCTGCAATGATCTGTTTGGTGTTTGGAGCCAAACACTTCAGAGACATGTTTTGTATATATCTGAGACCTATAATATATTGATGAAAAACAGTACAATAGGGGACCTTTAATGCATCAATAATTATAAAACATATCATATATATTATTCTGATATGCGCTAATCTTCATGATAAGTACTTTTACTTTTGGTACTTTAAAGGTGGGGTAGGTACATTTGAGAAACCGGCTCGAGATACACTTTTTGTTATATTCCATGGAATGCTCTTAACATCCCGATAGCAATGAATATCTTAAGTGCTTTGACGAAAAATCCATTAAAAAATGTCATCTGTGGAAGCCGTAATACTGTAAAAAGCACGACCAATCATTTTAGCCGGCCCGGCTAAAATAACTGGATGGCCTACCTGCCTGTCAGCCTTCCATCTCTGCACAAACTTATCTCGTGCCCTCATTGGTCATGTGCGCGTTCGTGTGTGTTGGAGGAGGGGCTCTGTAAGGAAGTGGCAGATTTTTTCCGGCTGTGTATTTTCAAATTCTAGCGCACTCGAGCTGGTTTCTCCAAAATTACCTACCCCACCTTTAAGTATATTTTGATGCTAATACTTTTGTACTTTCACTTGTAACATAATTCCTACATTCTGGTACTTCTCTACTTTTGCTCAAGTACAAGATCTCAGTACTTCTTCCACCTCTGCGTTCTTAACTTTTTTCTCTTTTCTTGTTAATTCTTGTGCAGCAGAGGAAGGCAGTTACATGTGTTGGATTATCAGTTGTATGCACGGGCTGCCAATGTCCCTCTATAGAAAGATAATGTGTTGTAGTTGGTGGCTCTGTGGCGTGAGGCTGTTCCTCGAGTGTGGGTGTTGACATTCATTTCAGATTTATTTTGAAGCCTAAAAATATTGATATCCAAGAGCATTTATAAAAGTTCTCTTACTTTGAACTGTTCCCATCCCTGTTAAGAAGTAACAGCTGACAGCTTTTATTTTGTATTTGAACTTACTCGACCACACTTGGTTGTTAACAAAGCATTTATTTATTTATATAGAATAATTCAACAACAAGGCAATTCAAAGTGCTTTGCTAACAACATTAAGACATAGTGCAAATTGATTACATCTTAAAAACAATTAAATACACATAACATAGTAATTAAAAAGTCAACAGAATAAAATAAAAACAAGCTATTATAGAATAAGACTGGTAAAAATAACAATAAACTATTGACAGTGCTGTGTTAGATATGAAAAGGAAATTGATTTGTTAAAAGAAAAAGAAAATAGCAAATATTTCAACCACAATCCCATCCAGATGTTTTTAAATCCTGGCTCACATTGGAAAAGGCTCCCAGTGAGGAGATGGTACTTACTGCTAAAGAGCTTCACTATCAGCTCCACTTGTTAATGCCAATCAACAGGCGGAGAGGCCGCTCTGTTGCTAGGAGACTGGAGGATGTGTTCGAGGCTCTGATGTGTCCGTCATCACCGGCCGCTGGAGTGACTTGAATTAAACCGTTTCTTGAATTAAAATAGCGATCAAACTTTAGCATGGTGATGTTGCAGTTACATAGAGCAGAGAGACGAAACATGGCTCTTCAAACAAGTGAAGAAACGGCCTTACAACAAGAGAAAAGATCTTACCATAATTACACATTTAATTGAGATGGAAATCCAGCGGAATAATGAGTTGAATTAAGCTGCTGGTTCACCAGGGTCTCTCTTCCTGTGCTTCAGTAAAAAAGCGTTTTATTGTGAAGAGGTGGCCTTTCAGGAAACACCTAATTGCTATTGGCTGTTTCGTGTCGCGGTGACATTTATGAAAACTTTATGGACAGCTTGTGACATTTTGGATTCCCTTTTAAAGCTGTGAATATGACGCTTTTCTACTTTATGGGCCACAGGACTTTAAAATGAAAACAACAACAGGTCTGGTTGGCTGAGATGAAAGAGCGACGAGAGAAAAGAGAGTGGCAGTGATTTCATCCTGCGACGAAAGGTCATAAATATAATACATTTTGATGGAGACAAAGGCCTTTTCACAGGTAATTGAAATGATAAACGGATGTTCAGACTCTAGCAGAAGTTTGTCTAATGTTTAATTAGAACAGAATTTATTGAAATGACAAAACTTTGATGGTTAACGCTTCAACACTATGATCAAACAAATAGCAGATGGTAAAGAGCTTCCAAACACAGTCAAATACTGAAATGAACTATGTTAAGAACTATTTATGTGAAGGGCTATTGTAAAAACGATATATTAAAAAATGCATATGTTAATTACCAATATAAATATACAAATTTAAAAAATGAGAAGTTAGTGCAGTCATGTGCGGTGTCGACATTTAAAAGTGTAAGTGAGCTGTGCAGTTGTTAAAGTGGTAGTATTGTGCAGATTTATTAATAATAAAAAAAATGTATTTATATAGCACTCTTTTAAACAGAGCTACAAAGTGCTTTACATAGAAGCAGACCACATTTAAATACAAAGAATGAAAATAACGTAAAACCTTATTAACAACAGCAAAAAGAGTAAACAAGCCTCATAAAACACAGCGTAAAACAAACAGAACTAATCAAACATAAATAAAATCACGTAAAAGCACTTCTTAAAGGGTTTTCTAATAAGTGATTTTAAAGAGCAGACAGTTTGCAGCCCCGATCTCCTCAGGCAGATCATTCCAACGTCCATTTCCAAAGAAATATGTAAAACAGTGTCTTTGATGATAATGAAGAAGAAGGGAATCACACAAAATGGCCTCCAAACATCTCCCTCATGATATCCCACCATAACATTTCTGCATGTGTGTGTCGTGTCACCAGTGCCAGACTCCCAATCTAATTACATAATTTGGCGTGACAGTCATGGTGCATTAAATAAATGGGATTGAGGGAACACCGCTCCAACAAGGATTAGAAGAAGAGCTCCTGAAACCATAACATATACTGCTGATGTCACAAAGAAACGAAATCACATGCAAATATTGTTCTTGGTCAACTAATGTGGCTGCACAAACAGCGTCTGTAAACACATGTTAAGCTTTGTATTTCTCTTTAAATAGCTGTAATCTGACTGCAGATCTGGAGTTTGGGGCGACTTGTGTTGTGGGGCAGGTGGACGTCTCCTGCCTGCAGTCACCCCACTGAGCCTTCATTTGCATACAAGATCAGATTATCATTACATTATGTATTCCAAGGACAAGCTGCGCGTGATGGATGATTGGTGCAGTCGAGTAATCTCCACCAAGGTGCTTTGTCCAACCTCCTCTTTCTGCCTCAGAAAAAACAGAGACTGAGAAGAAGCCCGGGGGAGCATGATGAACCGCCCTGCTGCTCCAGGGTCAGAACATCTCAAATATGGCACTATTTTTAATTAAATTATCTGACAGTGTCCATGTTTGTAGTTTTTTCATACTTATAAAAAACTGTTGATCCTGGAAAGAAGGTTTCAAATCAACTTCTCCTGAAGATAACATCATATACCTTTTGTTCAAATGTAAGATGCACTCATTGTATGGTTTATATATAAGCCTATTACATACTCTACTGGAAAAGTACACATAGTAGATTTACACTTTTATAGTTGTACTATCCTTAAAGTATTTTTCATATTTTATTATAAATGACAAATGGTAGGAACGACAACATAACAAACGGGGAAGCACACACAAAAAGAAAAAGAAGAATACAACAAATTAAAATAAAGATAGAACATTCTGGAAGATCATTTTTGTTTTGGCGGAGTTTATTTACAATAAGATAAAATTAAATAACACCAGAGTTGATTTTTAATGTGGAGGGTCAAGTTAAAACTGCAACTATAGATATACATAGTAAACAATATCTCTCACTAAAAGGCAAGACAATACAACTCAATAAAGGCTCTATAAACCAACACAATTAAACTATGAAGTGTGCTTATCTTTGATATTTCAGCTTTGTATCTTCGCCCACTAAATAAGAGTTGTATGGAAGTAGGAAAACTTCACCTAGAACAATTCTTCAATACAATACTAACAAATCATGAAAATCAACTCTCAGATATTTAAACTCTGACATCTGACACCATGAGAGACACCATCTGTGCCGCTCTCAGAGAGATGAACGACTCGCTGGCTTCAGGAACACGGCAGCAGCAGGAGAGGAACAACAGGTCGGTCCACGCAGGAAATGTGTGATAACATTTATCTACAGAAATAAAGCTCTCTGGTTACAGGATGTGTTCGGATTGATGTAGAAACAAAGTAGCGATGGCATGGAGTGTTTAATGCGCAGAGATACAACATGACAAGTGAGTGATTGATTTGGACAATGCGCTGGGAGTTTGTGTTGTAATAGTGTTAGAATAATGACAGATATTCAAGCATAATTCCACATATTTATACAAGCCCCCTGGTGTGTAATGATTCTTATTTTGTGGCTGAATAAATATTCAAGTCCTCATCTAAAGTCAAATTATGTCTGGCATCTCCAGATAATACATTATTAAGAAGACAAAATAGATACAATATGTTATCCCCAGAGCTGAAATGTTGGTGTTGCAGACGCACAAGGACAGACATTCTATAAGAAGTTTATCAAATAAAGACCGAAACAACCTATTTTAGTATGTGGTAATTTACTTGTTATTTTACCATCAGATCAATGATTGTAATATTGAATAAATATTAAGTAAAGTATACAATATGTATAATGATTTAATATTGATATAGGTTGAATACACATTTTCAAATGATGAGAAATCATGCCATTTACTTACTTTACTGTTTTAACATACATCAGCGGTTGTTTTATTTTTTGTTTCCTCAGAAAACGTCCTTTTTCGGAGAGCTTCCTGCCGTTAAAAGGCCACTGACAACAGACAGGAAGTGGGATAAGGTAAGCTTCAAATTCCCAAATGATCTTAGCAGGAAGTAAAAGCAGCACTAAGAGGAATTATGACTTCCTGTTCTCGGGCATTAATCAGTAAGTCACTACGACGGTTCACCCTTAGATAAACATCTGTGTCCACTTCCTGCTGCTCGACAAATACATAAATACAACCTTTGTAGATTAAATACTTTGATCAGATAGTAACAATAACAAGTGTGAAGTATATATCACTGCATGCATTCAAGTCTTTATAGAAAGTATTATCAGCAACTGTGTTTTTTCTGACATTTTCGACTCTACTATAACTTTTTTTTCGACATACTACACTATGTAATTTTATCCTGATATGTTCGACACACGATACTATGACTTTATTCCGACATATTATACTATGTTGTTTTTTAGGAAATTTTCGACATACTATACTATGACTTTATTCTGACATATTATACTATGTTGTTTATTTGTTCGACATTAATTTCTATAATTATTTTACCACATACTATACTATGACTTTTTCGACATGTTTTTTCAGATTTTTTGCGATAAACTATTCAGACTTTTTTTCCACCTACTATAACTATGTTGTTTTTCTGATATATTTCTTCATACTATACTGTGACTGTTTTTGCGACATACGATACTATGTTTTTTTTTCTTCTGGTATTTTAAATATTTTCAACGTCCTATACTATGTCCTTTTTAAATATATTTTCAACGTCCTATACTATGTCATTTTTTAATACTGTACTAAGACTTATTTTCGATAATATAATACTATATGTTTCTAATATTTATGCTATGTCCTTTTTTCTGATATCTTCGACATACTATACCATGTGGTTTTTCTGATATTTGTTATTTTCGACATACAATACTATGTTTTCTTTCTGGTATTTTCGACATATTATACTATGTGGTTTTTCTGAAATGTTAAACATACATTTTAAACTAATTTGTTTTTTCAGATATTTCCAAAGTACTAAACTATGTGTTATTATTCGGATAAATGCGACATGACATTTCTCAACACATTATACTTGTTTTTTTATGATATTTTCATATACCTATATATAGCTTATAAAATAAGAACACAAAGACTTCATCCTCTCAAAAAACGTATTTAATCAAAACATAATGTTGATTCATTAACAAGTTTATAAAACAGTGATTTAGTTACATAAATAAATTGATCAGTGTATCAAATCTTAGTTTCAACTTCATGAGCATGTTGACATGGTTGTACAATCATTTACCTACCGCAATAAATAAAAAGAGAGCATATTTCTAAACAAAAAGGGGCTACAAACGAGACAACACTGAAAGGACAGATGGAGCTTTTAAAGCACAGAATACAGTTCAGCTAAAACAAATTATAGACACTAAAAAAAAGGTTGTAACCAGTTGTATTGGCGTATGAGAAAGGTTTGGTAGTTAAAACTACCATTTGGTTATTTTAAAGCATTAAGACAAGGCAAGAAAGAAGGCTGTTTTCGTTTGAGGAATTCTAGAGATAAATGAAATCAAAGAGGAGGAAAAATAAAGAGGTGAAACAGTCAAGAACGACAGTAAAGAGCAACTTTCTGTCCTGCATAAAGTCGGGATGTCAGAAGAAGAGGCGCAGACATAAAACAGCTTTTTGTGACTGAATCACTGCAGAAGAAAAACATGAAGGCAGATTTCACTTGAACATGGCAGCTGTGTGTTGTCGCTGCTCTGCCTCCACAGTGGTCTCTTTCTGTGGCCTCCTACAATACTCAATACACGTCTGTGTTCAGGAGAATACGCACTTTGCATGTCCACTTCCTGTCTTGGTTTCTGCAGCTCATTACATGTCTGCAGAGCCAAAAAGCAGCCTGTCATGTACTTCTGTTTTAAATTGTCCCCTGATGCGATGCAAGGCGAACATTTTTGAATTCCTTCTGATATGTTTTTGTTGTTTGTTTTCAAAAACCAAAAAGTACTGCAGCTTCAAGTATTGTGCCTTACATAGAATATTCTGTCATAAATTAGTTAACATATACATTTTTATTCAATATTCAGACATATACTTTCATATATACAGGACAATAAAATGCTTTTGTTCTCTTTCTGTTTTTTTAGTCTTTTTTTTTTTTCAAAGAGAAATCCCTGAGAATATATGTTTGACAGTTTCCACAAGACAGCTTGTTTTTTGTGTTTCTGTGACGGTAAAATAAGCATACTGAATGTTTGAGACAACACTGCAAAGCCAAAACAATCAGCCTTAAGATGAAAACTAAATTGAATCCAGTCAAATGAACTCTGATTTCGATTTTTTCTTTCTCTTCACCGATAAGATGGCCGATGACTCGGAGGAGGAGCCAGTAAAGCTGGATCCTTTTCATAAGAGGTACTTGTCACTTCAGATGGAGTTTCTCCATTTGGTTTAAAGCCATTTGTCTTTTTCTTTGAGGCTGTTGAACGTTAGCTGAGGAAAGTAGGAGGAGTGCAAGGTGGACATTTTGCCACTGGACAATACAGTATAATATACTCAGTGTAAAACTCTTACTCTCTCGCTTTCATACATATATAAAGGGAAACACACAAACTTCCATGAATTGACTCCTTCTGCAAACGTAATGGTTTTATACACATTAATACCAGCTGTTGCTTTTATGGTTTACAGTGTTTTTTATCTTCAATTCCAAACTTGTCATTTTAAGGAGAAAATGAGCCCTAAAACACATTTTTATATCTTATTCCCATTCTCCGGGGATGTCCAGTGCTCCTGCTTGGTACGACTCGCAATGAAAAGGAATATTCCTTGGGATTGAATGGGACCTTTTCCACATCACAATCACCTTCAGGAAATTGTGTTCATTATCACATTTGACCCCGCAGTGCCAAATCCTGGGAATAAGATTTGCATGAATGTTGTTTTTAGGAGGATTTTCACTTCAAGTTAGAAAGGATGTAAAAAAAAATGTTGGTCGTTTGATCAACCAAATCTCTCTCGAACGAGCATCATGAGTTTCTTCTTGCCCTTGTAAATCTGTTTCAGGTTGTCTATGAACTGTGTGAACTGGATGTGTCCGTCGTGCGCCATCAGGAACGTTTCTCTGGCTTTACTGAGGAACTCGATGAACTCGCTGTAGTGGCGTGGGCTGATGTGTGTCAGCCGAGAGTGCGTGGTGTTGATGTAGGCCCCGATCGTGGCGTCCAGCAGCTGCCTGAGCGGAGCCTTATCCAGAGGCATCAGCTTTCCAGAGTTCCTGCGACTGTGCAGCGAGACAATGCCCGGCGTCGTTAACGTACACCGCCGCAAAATGTCTGACAAAACGGTGGCGCACTTCACGCTCTTCACCACCAGGGGGATGACGGATGCCAGTTCATTTTTCCCCAAGGAGTGGCTGAGCGCACAAGCCCAGAGCACGTCGTTGATGGCCGGGTGTGTGTCTT